CCACGTTGTTGCAAATGGTAGGATTTGTTTTCTTCTTATGGCTGAATAATATTCTATTGTGTATATGCCCCACATCTTCTTTATCCATTCATCTACTGATGGACACTTAGGTTGCTTCCATTTCTTGGCTATTGTAAATAGTGCTGTGATAAACATAGGGGTGCATCTGTCTTTTTCAAACTGGGCTGCTGCACTCTTAGGGTAAATTCCTAGGAGTGGAATTCCTGGGTCAAATGGATTTCTATTTTGAGTTTTTTGAGAAACCTCCATACTGCTTTCCACAATGGTTGAACTATTTTATATTCTCACCAGCAGTGCAGGAGGGTTCCCCTTTCTCCACAACCTCGCCAACATTTGTTGTTGTTTGTCTTTTGTATGGTGGTGATTCTTACTGGTGTTAGGTGATATCTCATTGTGGTTTTAATTTGCATTTCTCTGATGACTAGTGATGTGGAGCATCTTTTCATGTGCCTATTGACCATCTGAATTTCTTCTTTGGAGAAGTGTCTGTTCAGATCCTGTGCCCATTTTTTAATTTGATTATTTCCTTTTTGTTTGTTGAAGTGGGTGAGCTCTTTATATATTTTTGATGTCAACCATTTATCGGATCTGTTGTTTATGAATATATTCTCCCATTCTGCAGGATGCCTTTTTGTTCTATTGGTGGTGTCCTTTGCTGTACAAAAGCTTTTCAGCTTGATATAGTCCCACTTGTTCATTTTTGCTTTTGTTTTCCTTGCCTAGGGAGATATGTTCATGAAGAAGTTGCTCATGTTTATGTCCAAGAGATTTTTGCCTATGTTTTTTCTAAGAGTTTTATGGTTTCATGAGTTACATTCAGGTCTTTAATCCATTTCAAATTTACTTTTGTATATGTGGTTAGACCATGATCCAGTTTCATTCTCTTACATGTAGCTGTCCAGTTTTGCCAACACCAGTTGTTGAAGAGGCTGTCATTTCCCCATTGTATATCCATGGCTCCTTTATCATATATTAATTGACTATATATGATTGGGTTAATATCTGGACTCTCTATTCTGTTCCACTGGTCTG